CAGCGCATTCCGGGCTAGGTGAATGTGCCGACTCCGCGCGCGCTTAGCAAAGCAAGGCCATCGACAGCTCAATGGGAAAAAATTTAAAAGAATCCGATATTTTGAAGAAGGTATGGTAGTAGTCATCACGGGAATGATCACAATATTGTTGGAGTTCTTTACACTTGTTTTCCGGTTTGGTACTGTTTTGAGTTTTAATTACTCTTGCTGGTGCTAATGGGGACGTCGGGCCTCACAATCGGAGCCTGCTGGGGCGGTGGAGAGGTGGTGGCCTTTGGAGTCGTTGAAGACTCCCAGCGGAACGACGCCTTCAGACGGGGCATCAGCAAAATGGTGTGTTGGGGGTGGGGTCTGGAGGGCATGACAGCAGCAAGGGCGCGCGGAGCTGCAGCCCACCGTCTTTGGATGATTGCCCGGACAAGCCCCAGAGCCTACAGGTCAGAACCACAACCTAGAGGCGGGGTTTCTTGGCTCGACTGGGGGTCGCCGGGAGTCTCCCGCCAAGCGCCCCAGCTTCCGGTCGTGCTTGGGCTGTTCTCCTGCAGTTTTCGTCCCCCTTCATCAGCCCAGCTGCCCCTTCCATCCTGACCCCTGGAGGACAGGGCCAGAGCCACTGTGCCGCGACAGCGTCTCCTTTGGAACCGAGCACCTTCTGCTCTGACAACAGCACTTATTGAACCCCTGCTGGGGACAGAAACATTTAATATTTAACATGATCCTGACAGGTTATCCTTTTTAAAAGACTGGGAACTTGTGGCTCAGAGAAGTTAACTAGCTCGGCCCTAGATAGGAAGTGGTGGAACTGGGATATGAACCCTACACTAAGCTGGGTGCCTTGCGGCTCTTGGCTTTCCCTCGGGCCCAGAGCACTGTCTGGAAGCTCTAGATGTACCTATGCTCGAGTGGCTAAGCCCCTACCCGGGGCCAAGAAACCCCATCTCCAGGTGCCACTCAGTGGCACTGGGGCTGGCCTGGGGAACCTTACACAGGGAAGGCAGACTGCCCTTCAGGTCTCCCTTAGTGCTGCCATTCCCCCCAGCCTCCCAATAACCCCTGCCACAGGGAGCTCAGCGACCTTCTTTGGTTGGAGAAATCACAAAAATCCAAGCTGGAGGGAGGTGGCTTCCTAGAGCTGCTGGAATACAGCCACCCATAGTGTCCCAAAGTACAATCTCCCTGTAAGAAACCAGGGTGATGAAGTTGACCAATCCAGCACCCCCCTCTTTGCTTCACCCACGGGGCCCCAGGTGGTCAGCTTTCTTGCTTCCCAGTGATAGGTAGTAAGTGGTTGCCCCACAGCACCCCGATCCTAGGGGTTACGTGGGCTTTGTTGTCCTCTGCTGGGAATCCTTTCTCTCTAGAACTCACTGCTCCCAACAGTCAGCTGGTGGGAATAACAGGGAGTTGGAGAAAACCTCATTGCATGCATTTGCAGGGTAAGCTCTGGGGACCCACCTTTCCTACACCAAAGGCAGTCTTGGACCTGGCTTCTACCATTGTGATGGTCATCTTTCACTTTCCTATCTCTAAAGGGAGTGGAAGACCCAGGATCTTCTTACTTCCTACCTAAAATATGGTCAGAAAGAGGTTGGAAACCCAGCCTCAGGCACTGTGGGTAAGGAGCCCTGACAGATCTCCCCAGCTTGAGGGTAGCCAAGCCACACTCACAGCCCCTGGGCTCCCCCTTCATGCTCATGATAGGCAGAAAACAAGAGAGAAAAGGAACTGTGCCTAGGCCAATTCAACTGGCAGGACAGATTTCTCACTAGGGTCAGGCAGCATATTGGGGGCCTATCTAGCCCTGTTAAAGATTGTTCATCTCGGGCCGGCCCGTGGCTCACTCGGGAGAGTGCGGTGCTGATAACACCAAGGCCATGGGTTCGGATCCCATATAGGGATGGCTAGTTCACTCACTGGCTGAGCGTGGTGCTGACAACACCAAGCCAAGGTTTAAGATCCCCTTACCGGTTACCTTAAAAAAAAAAAAATTGTTCATCTCTTACCAAGATAGGAAGTAAAATAAACCAGGACAGTTGGAGGTTCCCCTGGGTCTAGGTAACTACCCTACCAGAGAGACTTCTCAGGAACCAGGCTGCTGAAGAGTTGACAACAGCCACTTTCACTTTGGGGGGTGTAGGCTAGAAGGGGAAGAAAGAAAAGGAACAAATAAGAGGCTCTCTTGGACTTTTAAAACATGACTTTGAGAGCTGCCACTCAAGATGCAATCCTTGTACTAAATCTGACCCCCTTGTTAAAATGGCAGAAAGTTTATTTACAAATATCTGTACAATTTGAGTGACAAGTCAGGACTTCACAGAAACAAAGAAAACAAAAGCATTTTTTTAAGGGAAGTTGTAGGCAGTAGACTTTCCCTGCACCTGTCAGAAGCAAGACAGACAAACAGCCCCATATACATTATGAGCTAGGCATACGGACATTGGCATTTTCGCTTCTTGGAAGGAACTGAAAAATGTGAAAAACAGCCTTGAGTGTTACACCATTTCAATACTGAGACCACATTGAAGGGTAAGGTGGGTGACACTGAGGCAATTTCCCAGCACTAGAAATACTGTGAAACACCAAGAAGCCTTAGCCAGTGGCACAAAGCCAGTGTCTCATGCCTGGCCAAGACCTTGGTTCAGAGGCCCTGCCTCAGCTGTGACTGGTGACAAGTCCTTAGTCTTGATCCCAGTCAGCAAGTAGGCTACTCAGGTGATAAGTTAACTTTCAGTCTTCTTTGGTTGGCTTTTCTCCCTGCTTTGTGCTTTGGCATCTCAGAAGGTTTCAGCAGCTGCATGTGGGGAGGTAGTGGCAACGTGGCTACAGTGTGATGCAGTTTTAATAAAAATTTTATTACACAGCCATAATGTAATTGACACTTTTCCAAATCCAAATGATACTAAATACAGATCTACATGGTGGATCAGAATGACTCCAGCAAATTATATGGACTCTATACTTTTATGTCTTTTAAAACCAGAAAGAAAAAAAATTCCAAGTTCGTCATGATAGGAGAGGTCCCAGCAGCTCCAGGACTCTGCCGGAGTCCAGGCAATGTTTAACAGTCTGTGATTCCACATTTACACAATAGTCTATAAAGGGTTTTGGTCAATGGACTATTCAAGTATACATGATTTTAATAAGTCCATCACCACTCCTTGCTGTGTCACAGCTACCACATAGCTGTGTTACAGTCATATTTAATCGATTTTACAGTCACAATACTTCTTTAAAACCATCCATTGCTGCTTTTTTAAAATTAAAAAACTGTAAACTAAGTTAAAGCAACACTGAGGCTCTATTAACCCAGAAGAGTTACCAAGTTCATTTTTATGTTTAAACACAACTTAACTCCATGATTTCCCATCATCCCCCTTTCTTATACAAAAGTAGGGTGAAAAAGTACAAAGTAGAGCTTCTAGATTCCTCTCCCTCTTGTGGAGATCAGCAGCTCTCAGCTGTTTCTTTAGCTTAGTTCTTGGTATAGTCAGCTGTACTTTGTTCTGAAAAGATTTGTTAAATGCCACTTTTATTTACACTTGGAGCTTTACACCTGAGAATGATTATCAAGCAGTCAGCTTATCTCTTTTCAAACATTTCATAAAGACATACACACCTCTTTGCTGGCTTCACCCTAGCTGCACAACAATATATATGCTTACCATATATATATGTACACACACACACAAAACTGCACATGCTTGTAACATTTGCAACCTAATTCTTTTTGTGTTTACTCTCCACATTCATATCGATTAATTTCTTTTAAAAACAAAACAAAATGTTATTCTTGCCAAAACAGCAAAACAGAATCACTAGGAAGAGGCAGGGACACAGGTGGGAAAAAGACACACTATGTTCAGCCAAGAAGCTGTGGGCTGTAACCATGGGATGAGCAAGACACCTTCACTGCCCTCCCTGGTACCTGGTGATGGGCTTCCCTCCCACCTGCCAGGGCAAAGCCTGCAAGGCAGGGGGCTAAACTAGGGAATTTTCTCCAAGGTAGGGAGGTGATGGGGAAGAGGAGGTGGGGGAGGGAAAGTTACACAGCTATAGCAGTCAGGCCTGTTTAGTAAGAAGAATCACATTTAATGAGTTTCTTTCTTGCAGTTTCAGATGCTCAAGTACAGCTGAAAAAAAAATCTGAAACAGCTATAGACCCATGACAGACTGATACAAAGAGTACTGCATTTTAAAAAAATGATAAAAAAATCCACACATTTACATACATATACGCATACACACACTCTCTCTCTCTCTCAAATTAGACCCCCCTCCCACCCCACAAATGTACACTTTTTGGAAACTAAATTGGTTTTGAAAACCTTTCTTCCGCAGAGATGGGAAGAAGAGAAAGATGAGGAGAGAGGAAGGAGGATTGCAGGTGCCCAATCCTCGCTCCCTCCACAAGGGCCAGGTGCCAAATGTTCAATGGTTGGGTCCAAGGCAGTCTGCTGAGGAGACTGCCCAGTGTTGCTGCTGTGGCCACCAGGGGCTCCAGCAAGAATCCCAGCTCCCTGGTAATACTGAATGCGTGCAGAGTGGCCAATGAACTGTGCTGGTTTTTTTTAAAAAAAAGCAAACACAAATCTAAAGACATGGTAAAGCCCAAAAGAGCCCAGATCCACACTGGGTGGGGCTGGGGGGGGGGG